GCTTGTGAAGGGAGAGGGAAGTCTCTAAGTAATCAATTGAATCAGCTTTTTGTTTAGGTACAAATCGAGCTTGAAACGCGCGTAGTTCGGGGCAAACGCCAAAAAAGGGCATGCCCCAAAAGCAAGCTGCCGCAAAGCACTGGGCGTGACGGTGTATGTGAGGCTTACTTCGCTCTGCGTTACAAATGGAAGCGGGGAATTAACTTAACAAGCACAAGTTCAAATAAAAATATTGAAAGATTGTATAACGCTTAAAATTTGAAAGGTAGAAGCTTTTAGAACGTGAGCATTTCAAGCAAGTGGTTGAACTTCGCAACAAGGCTTGTTAGGTGACCTTGGTTCTTTCATTTCGTGATCAAAAAAACATTACTGTAAGAGATTCAGAAGCGGGCCTCATGGCTAAGTTCAACCAAGCTAGTTAATTATATAAAAACTCATAGTTTCGATTTTGGAGCTCCGTCACGTCATGTTTGTTGCTGTTGTTGCTGTTGAGCTAGTCGGATCTTATCGTACATAAGCAACAACTGCTTGTCGAGTGCTCGAGACTTCAGGTTCTCCAACATTGACAGCAGCTCCACTGCTAATTCGCCAGGCATCAGTGATCGTACTGCAACCGCAAACTCTTCTGGGTGGGCCTGACGAAGGGTCTGTAGTGTCGAAGCGACTTCATGAACCACCTGGAAACAGGTTTGCGTTCTTCCAAACAACTACTCTTATTTCCTATATCTCACTAAAATGATGCTCACCACTGTACTTCCAGCATCTGACGAACTGATATGCGGCAACGAAGGCACCTCAAGTGCTGTTCGCAATGTCCTTTGCCACCACTGTGCATTAGTGGCAGATGTTCGACTAAGAGTAGCCAGAGCTAATTTTTGGCACGACTGATCGCTGCTGAGTGCCAGGTGGGTAGCAGCCTCGAGGAGATTGTCGAAAAGTGTACCTTGAATACGGAAATAATTACAAATTTGGACCCTTACGAGTTTCCGGTGGAGTGAAGCACCCTACCGTATACAATACCACGGATAAAAAAAGGCGGAAAATTGTCAGGACTTGCCCGTTGCAATTTCATTCAGCATATCCGATGTTGTAGAGGTGTAGAATAACTGAAGGAAAGCACGCCGCACATATATGAGGTTACGGTACGCGGTCTCATCTAAAAGTGTCCGTAAAATTGAGGGAATGACCACCAGAACCGATCCTGAACAAACCTTGAGCACGCATTGCGGTAGTTGGTTCACTTTCCATCGAAAGGCGGGCTGCGGACGCAAGTATGGCACCAAAATCAACACCCGAACGTAAACATTCCTTCTGAATCAGGAACTCTACAATGGTAATCAAAATTTCGCTGCTAATGAAAACCCACCTTGAACTTGGCGACTATTTGATGGCTGAGAATGAGCAAGTGGTTCATGCTGTCAAGATCGGTTGACACCTTAACATCACCCTCAGATTTTACTCAAACAACAGAGTGAAGCCTGTTCTTACCGCTGCCAAGGCGGACATCAACGGTGGCAGTATCGGGAGAAGTTCCGAGTCAAGGCAGACCACCAGTCGATGAGCCAATTGTCTAACGGGCTCTAGCAGGAACGCATTTTCAGCGCTAAGATGACCAAGGAAAAGCTGAAAGTGTGACGTTTCGCTGTTGACTCTTGCTTTCAATATTATTCCCTTTCCTTGGTTCACCGGCAAGGTGTGGCGAGAGAAATGCTAAGCGTACATTCGCCGCCAACAAATACTTCAAATGCTTTTCTTTCGGCGCGACCACCAAACGAACACGGACATTGATGGTGACGTCCGCTATGATGTCAGTAAGGGCAAAAACTGTCCTTTAGCACTAATTACATTACCCTTTGCATCCCTGAGGGTGATTCGACGCTGAAACCAGCTATGAAATCCAGGGCATGCTGGGGAGATGAATATGCATTCTATCAATACTTCGACAATAAAACTCACATTCAATAACCGCATATAGACGTCAACACATCTGCATGACTGCATCGAATTGGCGTTGTTGAAAGCTTTTGATAAACGGCTGGAAGGAACATGGCAGTGAGACCAAAATGAGCATAGGTGGCAAACAGTCCGAAATTAAGTATGAGATGCCCACCAACAGTATCCAACTATGTTCGTCATGAATTGCTGGATCATCTGAACTTTTGCTGCGTCTCCTGCAGCTCGGGCTGCTTGAAGTTCTGTGACGGCAGCAAGGAAACGTTCTCCTAGTTTATTGGCCAGTTCACCGATGTAGACGGACTAAAACTTGTTTTTAAGTGATCAGAAGAAAGACAAGGAGAATTTTCTGATTATTACCTTCTGTTCAACTCCAAGTTCACCAAATACTATAAGTGTTCCTGTCGCTTCAAAAATGAACGCCTGATCATCGGCGGTAAGAAGTTGATCAGAATGTGGTGACATCGCCAGTAATGGAGCCAAACGGGAAATCACCTAGAAGAACCAACCATGGAAAAAGATCGTATAGCAAAGAATCGTGCTATGCCGTATTTTCTATATAGCAAAATAAGATTAAAGTAATTTTCAACCTGACCTCAGATACTAGCGGACTGAGCACGGTTTTGTGTGCTTTTACAAATCGGCAAAACAGGTAAACAATGCGAGTCCGAACGCGAGCAACTCGAAATGCGATCCCTCTACAAAAAGGGAATGAAAGCAAGAAAAAAAAACTACATAGGGAAAAGTCGACGAGAAAGATTAATTAGAAGTCTTAACAAGAACCTCTCATCCAAGAATGCCGATGCAACTTGAGGTATTACAGGCTGCGGACGGGCCATGAGCAAGCGTTCGTAACGGCATGCAATCTACAAACATCGACGTGAGCTTGACTTTCTTTTCTCTTGGTAGCTGTTTTCAAAAAAAGTTAAAATCGTACTGATAAAAAATTCCAAAGCAACCTTGACATCAAAACCGAAAAACTTTACTTTACCTCGAAATACAAGACATGCACAGTTGCTGAGCGACCGTCTAGTTGCATAGAATTCAGCAAATTGACAGGTAGTAACGCACCCCGTCCCATCCATCCCTCCTTCATATTAACGAAATTTGCCTGTTAAATATCGAGCCCATTAGGTAAAGAAACTGGGTTTGAAAGTCTGACCGTAACTAACTTACCGGTATAATCTCCACGAGCCCATGCACCAATTGAACAATAGCTTCCAGCCGTGCAATTGGCATAGCCGTACCGCCTCCACTAGCGGCAACCTCGTCAACTAAAACCTCCAGTGGCGCCACTATAAGGTCAGCACGCTGGAAATGGAAAACATTTCGGAGCTGGCATTCCCCACATAATTAGAACGCTCACCATATTCCCGATTGTATTGAGGATCCCACGCAGCTCTTTTCTGTATTCGGCGAATTCGATTTCGTCTTCACCTGATCCATCAACATCCAGTTCTTCGCTGATCACGAAACGCCGTAAGCATACTGACACGATTTTTGTAAATACACTGGTTGCCTTCTGAAAAATGGAGCAGGATGTGTACCAGTAATAAGCCGTATGCTCCTGGTGAACGGGGCCAGTTCTAATTCAGCAACCCTGTCCAGCATACATCTACTAAGTTGTTAATTCCAGTTAGTGAACTAACCTCCTCCATGCACTTGTCTTTGAACAGCGCGACATATGAACGTAGAGTGTAAACGACCAGTTCACTGAGATCGGGATCTTCATTATCCAGTACAAGAAGTAGCGAATCCATATCTGCTTCCACAATTTCAATGCATCTCCGAGCATCTTCTTCCCCATCCTCTGCTTTAAACCTACAATCCACCGTTTGAACTAGTGCAAAGATAATCGAAGTTGAGTATCTATTTAGTGGCAATGTGTTAGTAAATTTATAAGTGTTTTGTACATTTCTAAAGTTTTTGTTTACGAATTTTATAATGTCTTCTCGCCGTATGTTGCACAATATAATGCTGTTACTATCGAAGATACTATTGGAATCCCTTGATTAATTGCTCACCTCATCTTAAATGTACCTTTCCAACAGTCACAGTATATTTACCTCTGATAGGGACCCCTCACAGTGATATACTTTTAGCTATTTAACTTCCTCATCATGGTTTTGAATTAGGAAACTGGTGAGGATACGATTGAGAACCCTTCGTCTAATGTTCGCTCCCCGTGCTTCCGCTTTAGTGCCGTCATAGTGCCGCTGTAGCTATCTTTCGTGTCTAATCACGCGCTTCTCAGCTGTCAATAAAAGGACTTGTTCTGGGGCGGTGACGTTGGGGAAATCGTATGCTTGAGCTTTACTGGAAACATTTGCACGATTCTCAAAAAAGAAATCGAATATTTGTGCGCAATCCCGTAAATCATCATAGTAAAGAAGCGCGATGGTCTTTCCTAGTAATTCTTCGAATCGATACATCATAGAATGGATTAGGGTATTACCCCAGTGAGTGAAGAAAGAAGTTTTTGATAAGAATAGGAAAAGACCTATTGCTCGGCATTTACCACGTGACACCAACAAATCTTTTGGGAGAGGTTTTTTTGATGAAGGGGGAAAGGCAAGCTCTCTCGTTAATTCACACTTTCACTTTTCCTGGCACGAACGCTCCTTACGTGAAAGTGACCAACAGGAACACTAAAGGAAATCAAACACGTTCCGAACAGGATACGGATTAAAAAAGAAACAACAAAAAACACTGACACTCGACTCGAAGCAAGAGATGAACAATCTCGCAATCCCGTCTTCATCGTTGATTAAATCGGGTCATCTCGTTGTTCCCCAGCCAAGCCGGTAGCCGTATCCCCACACTTTCACCACTCTGCACTCATAAACTCGCTCTACCATGATTCTACCGACATTACTGATACTGCTATGTATTAGCATATTAACGACTGCACAAAAAGACCTTGTCTATGCTTGCGAATCTCTTATATGTGATCCGCCAAAAATGTGCATTTTGCAAGACCAGGTGAGCTCATCGGGAACGTAACCAGTTTTCACCTTCCTTTCTTTTATTTTTCAGAATTCTCTTTGGCCTTCATTACTATCTTAGTTTACCTATTTCTGCACACTTCTCGAAGACCGAACGCAAAAAATGTAGTGATTTGTCAGTTTGTAATACTTGCTTTTAGGTCCCCATATCTTTTGAATGAACCCATATGTCGGTTAAAGCAACGAGTTTTCTAAAGATTTTCTAAGGACAAAAAAAACCATGCAACGCATACTTGTGCAGGCTCTAAAGCGCTTGAGTAAAGGAAAATAAAACGAAAATTGTCAATATTAAGCAATATTTTAAAACCTAACCCAAACATTAGTTCGAGAGGGGAGAGAAAAATGAAACATAACAAATCGATGAAAAGAAATGATGCCCAAAATTCGTTTCCGAATAACAAATTTCCTGCCTCAAGTGTATTTTCAAGAAGCTCTCTCTACCAATTCAGGTGGCACAATGCTTACTTGTTCTCGCACCGACACCAAGGAATCGCTTCGATGCTGGTCCTACACATATAACAACTGCGGCACCGGTTCTTCTATCAGGGACAGAGGTAATTATGAGGACTCTTTACTGAAGTCACCAATTCAATCTTCTAGATTCCGTTTAAACCGAAGCTCGTAGTGATGCACATTTCAAGAGGCGGCGTTCCCGGTGGAAACGTTCGGAATAGAATTTGAGCCTTGGCTACGCTGTTTCTGAACTTACCAATCCTCCGCTTATGCCACATAATTTGCCTCTGACTCTTATGAATCTATTTTTCTGCAAAATCCTGTCATCGCAGAATATCTTTGATATGTTTTTGAAGCACGCTGAAATAAGAAGCACATAGAACTTGTTTGGACTAGCTTTCCCTATGAAGAAAGGGCCATTAGTCATCTTAAGCAACAGCACGCCGACTCTGATCGGACTTATGAAGTTCAGTTTCAATCCATCCAAAATGTATCCGAAGTTTCAACAATTGATGACTGGCAATATTACAGCAGCCGCCAACTTCTCTGTTTGCTGGATTTCCTCCAGCACTTCCTCCAGCACTTCCCCCAGCCCCTACCACAGGTGGGAATTATTCATCACACTTTTTTTATTGGGTTTTAGTCATAAATTCAAACATTCAGAGCCTCCTACCACAACCACAACGTTATCTTTGGCTTCCTTGCTGGGTGTTCTTAACATTGGCTCGCCATCTATTACTCTACCACCGCTCTTCCCTACGCCATCGACGTCTACCACAACCCCCGCTCCAGCTGTAGACATTTGCAGTTTACCTCCGTTGACGGGCAACTGCCGTCATGCTCGAATTATGTGGTAAGAAGGATCAGAAGATGTCTACCAAAGAGGCAAACAAAAACTTGCCGACTTTTTTACTTTTTTCTTGAAGTATTGCAAAGCAAGAAAGACATTTCAGGTACTATGACACCGAGACAGGAATGTGTGAGCGTTTCAGCTTCAGCGGATGCGGAAACCTCAACAGATTCTCCAGCAAAATGCAGTGTGAAATGACATGCATTCGGCGGGGTTGAATGTAAAGTGAATATTCGTATGTTTTAAAGGCAATTTTCGTAATAAATCTTACTTGTGATAGGTGTCAATGAGGACATTTCCAACAGCACTCAAAAGTGACCCGGCTCGTAAAACGTCTTCATAATCGCTATTCTGAATAAAGTAAACACTTGAGATGATTGGTTCACAATTAAAAAGCCAGATTAAATTTCAATTATGCATTACACCCATTCCAGACCAATCACGAAACCTTGCCTGACAAAAAATTGGGAATATTGGAAGAATTCTTTCCTCATTCCAGGTAAAGAAACGTTTGAAAAATGTTTATATATGTAAAAAGTCTTTATACCGGATTGACGTTAATGAGATGGTTATTCCGCATGACATCCATGAGAGCAGTGACCAGCGACAATTTCTTTGACGCTGGCATACCTTTCTGGATCAAAGCAGATACAGCACGAACTGCCGCCTTAACTTTAGCTATTGTTATCACGTTTTGGAGGTTAAGCAGTAACCGAGAAATGACCAAGAAATACTTAAGAAAAGTCGGAGTAAACTGGGTAGGTAAAAGTTCAAGAGTAAATAACCGTAAGGCGAGTAGGAAGAGGTAAAAATAAGAATGCAAATCGGTAAGCACCTCAGATATGTCTTTATTTCCTAGTCGAGCGATTACTAGCGGCACGAACACATCGTTGGCTACAAGTTCCACATCAATCCAATCAACAAATGCTGCAACGGCGTCAAGACAAAGACACTGCGCCGTCACATCCGAGCACTGTTCCTGAAAAATAGGCGATCGCGAAGCATAACCACGGGTAGTAGTACGAACGAGCATTGACAGTTGATTAGTAAAGCAAGGGGTACAAACTGAATACTTAAAAAAAGGAAACGCACCAATATTGTCCACCAACTCTGCACTATTTGAGGAATGCATAAATCACGCATGAAGTCTTTGATTTTAGTATTACGATCAAAGATCTGGATAGTGCAAAATTAATCTCTCCGACTGCCAGCGAGCAAAAAGACAAGGGAAATAAAAAACTTACAGTTTTCGTTCTTTGTATGTCGCGATCAACCACTTCTGAGTCGATAGCCAGAAGAGTCTTAAGATAGAATACTACCAAAGGAACGCTATCTAGTCCTCTCGAGAGGAAACTGAAAACAAACTGCTTCAAAAAAACGTATACCGATGTCTGAAAAGTAGGAAGAAATAAGTAGTGCAAAATATTAACTGACATATCGTCCATAAATGTAGGCCATCTATCCGGAAAGTCCGCTGCGAAGACGAGGGAGAAAATGTGTGCCATTTTATTAATTAGGAAACTTGGTTGATCAGGATGAGCAGACAGTTTCTAAAATGTTTTACATAGCTTCAATCCAAAATAAAGTAAAAATTACTCGATATCGATCTGGAAAGCGTTAGGTACCTGGATCCAGTGGGAAAGTAGGCCACGAATACACATGATGCTATCCGCGTCTGCTCCAGCATAACGTCGAGCAAGATAGTCTTCGATCACTTGAAGGAGAAGGAAATGCTCCTCGTCAGTACTGGAAACGAATGATACTCATGGGTCTACTGGTATCGAATCAAAGTACACTCGAGTTCTTAGTCGAATTCCATTCCTCCGCGCTCTAATGAATAAGTATGCAAATATGATTTTAATTCGTCGTGATTTATCACACTTTCGCCAAGGGAAACTCAAGCAAACTGTTTAGAAACGAAATGGGTAGAGTAATAAAATGAAGAAGTTCGTCGACTGTGAAAACAATTCAAGCAAGGAAACAAAGAGATGAATGATTCTGCAAATTCAGTGACGTACCTCAAATTGTTTGCAATGATGTTGTCAGTTGATTTTCGCCACCCATTTTCGTCAGTTTTTAGGGTTTCAAGGTAGTGGTAGAGCTGAAAAACCTCTTTTCTTGTTTGCCGAGCGAACAAGAAGTGATAGGTCTAGAGAGTGTCATTTGTCTACTGTTTTAGGAAAATTTATCGATCATAAAATGGGTTTTTTTTATCCAAAAAAAAGAGGATAATCATTTCAGTCATCAAAAGTCTATGAATCTTTGACAAAAGTAATAGCGAACTCGAGTACTTCTTGGAGGGGCTATACTCATGATAACACTTCCAAAAAAACTGTTCCAGAATGCGGTTTACCATTAAAACTGGAAAGGTTCTATTTTTAGAAAGCCCCAAAGCTCAGCTACGAAAAAAGCAAAAATGAGTAACTTTATGATACCTGTGCTTGTCTGGCCGGATCGTTGATAGATCCAGGAGCTCCGAACGGATTGCCATTCAAGGAACTATTAACTGCAGTCATTCTCGACTAACGCCGTCGATCAAATGCGAATAACAACGATAATGATTTGTTTCTTTCAGACTTTGAAATTTCAGCTGGTAGCTTCTGTAGCATACTACCACAATCGACACGATTTCAGCAGTGATCACTGCGAAAGCATAGGCTCTGTTAAAATTCTGAAATTACATCTGTTAAGGGTGAATACACTTTAAAAAAGACGACAGCACGAAATTGCAAAAAAAAAAAAACGGATAAATATTTGGAGAAAATCACTCAAGGGAATAAGTTTGAATGAGCAATTTGTTTCTAAATCTAGATGATTCAGAGTCACTGAGAAGGTGAATAAATGTAGTCCATAAAAGGATATTTTCAATGATCTTTGAATCTGATCACTATTTCTATCTACTTAGTGATTCACTTAATCATTATGGCCGAATGCAATCAACCGAAGAAGGTCAAAGACCTAATGACACAACATTTAACCACCCCAACTAGGAAATTGGAATGACCCTCGCAATGGCTGACTTTCGTAATAATGCTGTAATTAAGTGGGACGGAATAAATAATGATTTCCTATCATGTGCAATTCACTGACATGCACGGAAGGCTTCCTCTCGAAATAAAACGACCACTATCATAGCGAGTTGCACAATCTGATGCAGTTCGTTCTGACAAACCACACTGTTTCCAGTCGACGAAAATTTCGTTGAAAGCGTCACGGCTGGCCACCAAAGTGCACAGAAAGGTCGGGTAACGAACGTAAAAACACCTTTTTGATTAACCTTGAAATTGCGTACTTTTCGTGAGTACCGTAATTTGACGCCTAATTTTATTTCTAGTGATTACAAAAAATAGCCACTTACACACGATTTTACGGAGACATTTTTACTCTGCATTCTGCGTAGTAACATGATAATATGATTACGATTTAACAGTAACATGCTACTGTTAAATCGTAATCATAAACAGCTATTCCAGTTCTCCATAAATTAATGTAGTTTTTTCATGCAAGCATGATCTACATCTGCCTGGATTGTTTTTGTTTTTCTGCATTAAATAATCCAATCCGGCATTCACTAGCGATGTTGTTCCAAGCCTTTACAACAGTTTCAAGGTGCTGGGACAATTCTGCGCTCTAGGAGCAATGTAATTACCGATCAGTTGTTTCATGTGTCCAGTTAAGCCAAATGTGCACTTTACAAAGTATTTCCAAATTGATTGGGAACGTGGGAACTGGGATTTTCCCAAGATCTTTCACATGGATTTTAAGTTTATTTGATATTGTTTCATGTTATGGTTAAAATATATGTACAGCTTCTATTGTTTCTCTCTCCTAGGTGATCAAATGTTGATAATCGCCTTTGTTTTACGTTCAGCTCTTTGTCGTAGTCATCGGTATATTGCTGACATTTTACTTGTGGAGGGGGCACTGCACTTTTCCAACATTGGACACGCAAAGAATTTGGAGTAGCTGACTTCACTAGCCCATAAGATTACTCGAAAACGTTTCTTAAACGTTAACATAGAGGTTTTAAAGTAAGCGTTAGAAGGGATGGAGTCCCGAGGTGGGTGAGTCAACTGGATGATCAATTCTTACCTCATCCCAGCGCTTTGCATGAGAAAAACATGTCACCCACTCCGTTGCTTCTCCCCTCATAAGGCTTGGGTAACGACTATAGATATCCCATGCATTAGAACACTTCTCTGGGCTCAAATGGGAGCACAAAGCACAAACCATTACTTCTCTCCGCTCTGCCACTCAATGTTGAAAAAGAGAGATGTCTCTCATTAATTACATTTTCGCCCTTCTTTCGATAAATCAGTTCGTTTCTTTTCAGACAAAATGGCTAAAAGTCTGCGTTCAAAGTTCAAGCGG